TAATCAAAAAAACGTTTTATTTGATCTTGTTTTCATAACTTTCTCCATCTTGTCCTTTTTTCTAAAACTTGTTTCTAAAGTTTATTATTTATTGTTATTACCAGGAGCGTTTCCAGGGGCTCTGGGGGCCCCAGGCTAACAGGGCCCAGGGGTCCCCCCCGCCCACAGTGCAGACTGTACATACAGATAATAATCGTAAATTAATCCTCTTTGAGTTCGCACACACACATTTAGATCTCTCAGCCTCTAGACGACCTCTAACAATACGAGGCTCTTAGCAGAAAGGTCATGGGGCCTCGTCGGGGGGCGTCTGACTGTGGTGTCGTCCCAGTAACTGATCACAGAATTTAAACTGCTTCTCACTAAACTGTCGTTGCTGTGTATGTAATCAGCTGTTCTGTGGCCCCGGGATATTTATCACCTGCTCTGCCGACCTGGTGCGACGCTCCTGCTCGCCATAAATCCTACCACACAAAGTTAAACACTGATTTTAAGAAGTCAGTGGCTGTACCTCTGTTGCCAGGGTGGAGGTGAAGGTGGAGTTGTCGTAAACCCATCCGCTCTGACACGGAACCGCGGGCAGCTCGGCGCCGGAGCCGTTGGATAAAAGATGAAACCGAGGCTCGGTGAACATCTCGCAGGACTTCGGGGCTCCATCGTCTCGCAGGGGGACGCTGACGACGAGTCTTTGTTCACGAGTTAGATTTGTGAAGAGGTCTCCGTCATCCAGGCCGCTGATGTCACAGTGATGAGGAGGCACGGCGCCGATGAAGATGTTCAACAAGAAGTGACAGGGGAGGACGATCCGAGGGCTGCAGAGCAGGATGATGAGGAGGATCTGAAAAGGCCCGAAGCCGTTGATTTCCTCCAGGATATTCTCAAACTTCATCCTGAAGAAACAATTTCAATCAGAACATCAAATTTGCATCAGATAAAATAAAATAATAGGATTTCTCACCTGGTTTGTAAACTGTAGAACCTGCGACTGTAACTGTCCCTCGCTCTGTCAGCTCCGCAGCTCACCATCGGCCGAACTGATCTTTACCCTCTGCTTCACTTTTGGACTTTGTAAGTCTGTAAAATATTAAATGTCACAAAGGTAACACATTAAATGTGTTTAACACCCTCGAAGGTCAACAAGGGTCAACAACAGGAGAGCTGCTCCCACAGAGAGACAACCTGATGTAATCTTCGTTTTCAGGATCACGTGAGAGTCCAGGTGTCGTCAGGTTCATGAAAACTCAACTTCCTGCTTGTTGAGGGGAAAATGTTTGAATTACACAAGCGAGCAAAACAGGAATTAAAGGAAATTCAAATTTGAAAACACATTTTCTCTCTGGAGATACATCTCATCTTTTCTTTGTCTCAGAACATCTTTGTTCTTTGAGTTTGTACATTTCTTCTGCACAGATTTTGCTTTCAACGCTGGTGAACGATGGCGAGATCGTCACAGTCATAGAAGATTAAGATATTAAAAGTTCTGTTCTCAATTTAAAGCAACACTATGCACCTTTTTTTTTATTAACTTCTGGTTCAGGGAGCAGAGGATCATGGGTCAGAGCTCAACACACTGATACACTTTGTTTTTTCTACGCATGAAAACTATGTGTGGCTGCAGAGGGCGCTGTTGCTCAGTGAAATTTACATAGTGTTGCTTTAAATGTGGTTTATTATTATTTTACTATTATTATAAATCACAGAAACATGGAGGTGAGTGTTTCCTTAGTTGAACTGTTTCCATATTTGCAGCGATGAGTTACACATTTCCACGAGGGCCGACGTTGTTAAACTGTAGAAACTCTGAGTTAAAGTGAATCCAGCAGAAGAGAAACATTGTCAAGACGTGAAGGTTTAACAAACTAACGCCTCCTGCAGGATGTTTGTTCAGTTTTACCGTCACAGTCGACCGAACAACACACGAGCTGCTCAACGATCAGAAAGAACTTTTCATCCTGAATATTAAACTTCTCCTCTGATGCGTCGGAGACTGAGATAATCATGTTCTCACTTTTTAATTCTTCTCCAAGTGAGAAAACCAGGTTCTGTCTTTACAGGAGCTGAGAGGAACTTTACCGTCTGTGATATGGTCAGTACTTCAGTCATCAGATAAAACAACATTTATGTCTGTCAAGGTTTTAAATTCTTCATTTGTTCATGAGCAGGTTCCATTGACCTGGTGGGAGCCGAGAAACAACTCTTTACATTTGTGAGCAGATCCTGACAAAACTGTGGATCCAGTTGTTTTTTTCTCTCTTTGTTCTAGTTTTGATTTGTCAGAGAATAATTCATGGATCTTGATGAGAAAGAATCACAGACATTCAAAAAAATTCAAAAGCTGGATGATGAATAAAGTCTATTATTCTTTAAAGTAATTGCTGAAATGCTCCTGATAAAGTATTTCAGTTAAGAGCATCTGTCCGCAGGAGTTTGATGATGAGTTTTTTTCAGCACGTTATCGTGTTGATTGGAGCATTTAAAGAATTGTTTTATTTTATTTGTCTCGAAACCTGAAACCTTGAAGAGTCGTCCACTGCTCTAAATGATGGAATGATTTATATCTGAAAAGATGAAATAGAATTGTTTCATTTATCATTTTATCTCAGGATCATCCATCACATCCATCAGTGAAGTCACTCAGCTACCTTACACGTGTACGACCTCTAGATGGCGCTGTAGCTTCATCCTAATCACTGGTCGTGACCCTAGACTGTATTAAAAGTGTTGAGAGGAAAGATCCGTGAGTTTATATTAATTATCCATTTAACTCTCACTCATGTCTGTAGAATTCAAAGGCTAATGCACAATGCATTTCACTGTATATACTCTGTTTCAATTGTACAGATAATTTATATTATTTATACTTCCATGCTCTTATATTGCATCTTTACTTAATTATTACTTTTACCAATGTGTATTTTTTAAATTCCTGTTATTACTGAATTACTCATTTTATATTTTCTTAGCAGCAGTAATTGATTATCAAGATCAATGATGAAAATAAAGTATTAAGTATAGTACATGTAGTTTAATGTAAAATCATTGAAGTTCATGAATAGTACTTTTGTTGGTCGTTATTAATATTTAAATATATTTAAATGAAAGTGTTTCTAAAATGTGGTGTTTTCATGGCGGAACTAATGTTTCGGTGACAGTTTCGTTGGGGATGATTATCAGTGACGCACTGATCGCCTACCTGCCGTCAGACAGGAAGTTATTTAGTGACGTCAGTGACGCTTCGTCTGTAAGAAACGTGGAAACTCGCTCAGGTGAACTTCGACGCGTTTCTCTGAACCACGAGGTGAGAAGGTTCTGTTAGCAGCAGGTGTGCTAACGAGGCTAACACGTGTTAGCAGGCTTCACACCTGTTCAGTCATGGTTCAAGTTTAATTATCTTCAAGTTTAATATCGTGTGTTCTTTCTATGCGTCGTGTTGAAGTGAAGTTTGTGTTGAATGTTTCCGTGAGAACGCTCTCATTGTACTGTAGTACTAAAGAGTCACTTAGTGTTTTTCCGCGTACTCGTGTAGTTTTCACGGCTTGTTTAAAGGTTCAGTGTGTAGAATGTAGTGACATCTAGTGGTGAAGTGTGGTGAACTGCCCCCTCCCCCCCCCAAAAAAACATGAAGTAGAATCTGTGGAAACCTTCAGTCGTCCAAAAAACTCTAAAGATGTTTAGTTTGTCCGGTCTGAGCTACTGTGAAAAAAACAATGTGGATATAAAGTATTTAAATATAAAGAGGGTGAGGAACACAACACTTACAGCTCAAATGAAAACATCACCAGGATTATTTTATATTCACTTTCTGCCGATAGATTCTTTCACCTGAATCTTCCTCATTGAACCTTTAACAGCAGATAAACTCCAGTAACAGAGTGAACATCTTGTTTATCGTGTGTGAACTCAGAGGAATCACTGACTTATTAGACTCAGATCATCTGATCCGTCAAAACTTCTGTTTGTTCCGTCAAACGAAGCCTGAGATGAAACACGTTTTCACTCTTTAATTAAAATGTGGTTGTTCAGTGTTGAACTGCTGCCATGTTACGTTTGCACAGACATTCATACAGTCCAGTTAAAGTGTCTTATAGATCTGGAGATATAGAGCTGCAGAGTTTCCTCGGACTCGACGAGAGTTAAATGTATAAAACTAAGTAAAGTAAAAACAGTAACAGTGTTTGACCACAAGGTGTCAGGAAAGAGCCAGAGTACCCGGCTCGATCATCACAAATCCTTTTAATAAATGTATAAATAAATGTAAAACCGGGATTAGAACAGAATAAACTAAATAGACTGATTGATGTGCATTTGAATATTCTTGTGCGTTTGATTTTCTTCATCCAGAGTGTTAGTAAGGCCGGTCGCAAACTTTCCAGATTTTACGTCTGAAATGGTCGTAAAGAGGAAGACGAGGAAGACGAGGAGACAACTCCAGGTCTGGATTCTGAGCCTGAACTCTCTGATGCTGTGGACCTCAACCTCGTTCCACAGGATCAAGCTTGTGGGTGAGTCTTGGAATCCAGCTCTCCTGCATGAAGACTCATTTGACACACAAAGGCCACCAGGGGGCTCCCTAAGAAAACACTTACGCTGCAATGAAGAAGTCGTGAAGTTAAATTATATCAGAGGTTTAATATCCTGATGTTTATTGTGTAGAAAATCCATACGTGACATTTTATTGCTGTTAGTGATAGAAAATAAATCACAAAGTGAATATACAGAAGATTAAAAAGACAAAATGTCTCCTCATCAGTTCATCATCCTGTAAATTCAATGATTCATTCTGAATGAAATCAGTTTGACATTGAATCCAGTTCATTAAACAGGAGTCAAACCTGCGCTGCTCAACTCTCATGTTTTTATTATTATTTCATATAGAAGAAAACCGCTCAGTGAAAAATAAACTGCACACTCACGATAATGTTCTATCGTCATCAAATAACACATTTCCCCCAAAACACAAGCAACTGATAAACATGAAGAAAACTCAAAGACATGAACGATGTGAAAATATTAAAGTTATTGCTTCATGTTTTCAGTTTTATCTAAGTTTGATGTATTTTACAGGCGTTTGGTGTCGAGCATCTTTAAATGTGTGATCACACGCTGAACGTTTTAAAACATGACATCGGGCCGTTTAAGGTCACGTGACTTGAACAGATCAGACTTCGACACGTTTGTCGAGTTACTTTTAGAGAAAGAATCAGAACGAGGATAACCAGCAACAAATTTCAAACAAAAACTGAAAAAGTGAGAAGTTTTCTTTAGTTGCAGCTTCTGCGATGAGTCAGTTTGATGCTCGATGGTCTTTTAAAACTGAATATTTCTTTGGGTTTGGGACAAAACAAAACAGTGATTGGTGGATTAATGGAATATGACAATAATTAATAGAGTAAGTCTGCATGATTTCTCTTTTTATAAACTGACGCCGTTAAGATTTTAGTTTTTCTAGTAAATTGATGTTTATGGTGACAAAGTGACTGTTAACTCATTTATGTTATTAATTAGACCAAAGATAAAACTAAAATAATTTTCACAGTAGTTTTTCTCTGCGAATTTGAAATGAACAAAATGAACGTGGTGGAGTTTTGTGCTTCACAGCATTAGAACAAGTTACGGCGAGTTTCCCGCCGAACGCGTTAAAATGTCAATGAGTTATTGATCCGTCGTGATTTTTTATCTCTTATCTGTTTAACTTCCACCTTGAACCAGCTCAAACAAAGTCAAGTGTCAAAGTGGATTGAGTTTGTGTGAATGTGCTGAGTCATGTCCGCTCTGTTTTCTCTTTCTCACGGTTTCGACTGATCCTGATCTGCTCTGGTTAAAACTTCTCAGAATCGACTCTCCACTGAAAATCAAAGTCCTGTCGTGTCGTCGTTGAACTCGAGGTGAAGCCAGAGTCCGTCTGTTGGTTCGTTCTCAGTAACGGAGATAAATTCTTCTTCTTCTTCTTTTCTGGGTCAGTCGTCCTGAGGGATGTTCCCCTCCTCATCCTCCTCAGGTACCGAAGTTTCCAGCTTCCCTGCACAAACACAAACACGACTTCAATTTAAAATAGAAAAATTATAATGACAATTAAAATGTCTTTAGCAGCCACATGGCTGCACAAGACCAGACTGACCCTTAAAGAACTTTTGGAGGTTCATCACTTTACCTCCAAGAAAAAGTCTCTGAGAACAGAATTATTAAAACTTTTATTTTGTCACACATGTGCAATAATAGATGTAGGTTTAATTTACTATTTTGGTTTGATACCTGCCATTAAAAGTCCCATTTACTCATTCAAAATGTAAATAACCCGATAAATACCAAACAAATCAAACATTGAAACGCATAAAAAACCTCATTAATCACAGTTATCCCCTGAGATTAAACTGGAATAAAACTGTGACAGTTTGGCAGAAAAGCCTGAACATCCTGTCCCTTAATAAATCGTTTAAATGTCCTGCTGCAGGTCAAACGCAGCATCAACAGGAAATACCTGCTGAAGCCTCGAAGAACAAAAACCTGAACCACAGTAAATCTGTCTATCGCAGAAAAACAGAAATGAGGTATTGATGGAGGAGAAGTGGGACACAGGTCTGAAGAGAAAACGTTTCCACATCGTCAGTGGAAACATTTAGTCTCTGAGGTTGTGATTAAAACTCAAGTGAACAAAATAACAAGATCCATTAATAATAATTTTCTATTAGATTTGTCCTGCAGATTAAAACTGAAGAATGTGAAAACCACCGTCAGCATAAACGATTCACACAATCTCAATTAACGTCAAACCTTTTGTGTTTCAGATCAAAAATAATGTTCTGAAAACCAAAATATTTCAATATTTGAATCAGGTAATTTCCTTTTTATTTTTTTAAGGTTCTTCTGGAGCTTTATTGATTGGACAGATTCCAAGAGTGAATAAGGGAGAGAGAGACGTGCAGCTAACTGACGGGTCGGAATCAAACCTGTGGCTGCTGCAGGAGGACACACGCCTCAGTACAAGATTAACCAGGTGAGCTATCGGGCATGATGTCATTGTCTGACTACTTCATGACGTCACTCGACTTCATATGATGGAGAATCAGTTCTTGAACTTGTTTTTCAAACGACTCACATCTGACTCATTAACTTTACCAGGAGCTCAGAAACAACACACACACACACACACACACACACACACACACACACACACACA